AGACTATGGCCCCAGGATACCCTTTTAACTCAAAACTAAACCCACTCCCAAAGTTCACCCTTTGGCCAAAGATTAGACAAGTCTATAAAACAACAATAACACACATGAGGAACGTGCTTCTTAGTTCAATCATGCATACACAACAAAAAGGGCAATACCTGTCCAAAAGCAATGAAAAGAAGGCAGGAAAAGGACAGGAAAAATGGACAGATGGAAATGGGGAACTGGAATGAGGAAGGGGAGAGCGTTGACACATCGTGGAGATTGCAAACAAGGTCACAAAACAATTTGTGAATAAATTGTTGAATGAGAAACTAATTTGCTCTGCGAAGTTTCACCTAAAGCACAGTAAAAAAAAAAAAAAAAATCTTCAACAAACACATTTTTATGCATTTATAGATTATAAAGGAGCCCTGGTGGCACAGTGGCTAAGCGCTCATAGCTAACAAGAAGGTTGGCGGTTCGAACCCACCAGCTACTTGGTAGTCTGCTTCCATAAAGATTACAGCCTTGGAAACCCTATGAGACAGTTCTACTCTGTTCTATATGGTCACTATGAGTCAGAACTGATGTGACAACAGTGGGTTTGGTTTGGTTTTGGTAGGTTATAAAGAAGTTAAAAGGCTACAGCTACTCTACTAGACTATGAGCTGTAGGTAGGTTCCAGAGTAATTCAGATCTATCTGTTTATATCTGGAACCCTGGGAGTGCAAATGGTTAATGCACTTGGCTGCTAACCTAAAGGTTGGAGGTTCTAGTCCATCCACAGGTGCCCTGGAAGAAAGGCTTGGTGATCTATTTCCAAAAAAATCAGCCATTGAAAACCCTATGGAGCACAGTTCTACTATGGTACGTATAGGGTTTCCATGAGTCGAACACAACAGCAATTGTTTTTTGTGTCTATTTAGCCCTCATCACTCACCCAGATTGCAGGTATTCTTCTCTGACTTTGAGATGCATGCTTACTACTGTCTTTAATGAAAAATTTATACTACCACAGTTCATGAAATAATTTAACTCAAATATGTAAATTCTCCAGTGAATTCCAACAAATTCAGTTCTCACACAAATGCATTTTTTACACATGTGAAATCTCTAGGATAAATTTCTCAAGATGATGTAGCTGATCCGCTTCCTAAGAAATAGATGCATTATTATTTGAAAATGTACTTCTTTAATCCTTTTCATACTCTTAACTAGTTTTTAAGTTCTATATACAGCTCAGAATTTTAGTTACCTGGTAAGAGGTAGATATAATACTCCCATTTATCACTAGCTTACAAAAAACTACACTGAACATAAATCAACTATTCTTGTCTTGTTTTTAGATATTAACATTTAACGGTCAGCATCTAGTCCAGTACTTAACCGTGACGTCTTAATTTATTCATCTACTTGTTAAAGAGAGACCTTTACAACACTCCATGTCCTACCTGCTCTGGGAAGGGTCTTATGACCAGGAAAATCTCACATTTGCTTATGTTCAATACGAAGTGTGTTACACAGCAGGGTGAGCAGTGGAACAGGCAGGCAACCCAAGGGTATCTAAGCTCCTTTTGAGTCAGGTCTTCAAATTTAAAACACATGGTTGTATATATGGGTCTGGAATAAAAAAATAAAACCTTGTTTGAAAAATAGAGTGAAGATGACTTTGACCCCACAGCTGACTACAGATTGATTGTTTACTTGAGAACCTCCAGGGTGGCTGCCAGCTTGCACACTCCCTACTTAAACTGGTGAGGATTCCAGTCTAAGAAGGAAGAATCCCTCTGACAACTTGTCTGACAACTTGACTATCTCCAGCCCCTAGTACTCAGGGACTCCTCATTAACTCTAGGAAATGAAAAACAAAAAACAAAAAATTCTTCCTCCTCCAAAATAAGTTAGGGCCCTAATCCTAAAGAATAGTGTGGGCTCATCGTGTAGACTTTGGGGGGGACCTCTTGATTTTAATAAAAGGGGTGGAAGAGGAGAGGGGAAATGAACTATTTTTCTGAAAATTCCATTGTACTGTTTTAACTTCTGTGCTTCATTATTCTTATGCTGTTTTTTACAACAAATGACAATTTGAGTACAATTTTTAAAAGATAAAACTCATTACAATAAATATGCACTATGCATTATAAATTTAAGGAAAATTCCAGAGTTAATGGATTTATTTACAAATCTTGCTTTTTGTGGGGAAGGATTCTAATTTCAATTTGAAGTTTTACATTGAACATTTACCATTCATCAAATTAGTACTGGAAAGCACTTAAGTAACACCTTTTTGTGAAGGGTGCTAGGCAATGACCTATGTGAAATTAACAGACCATCTCCCCAAGGGACAGAATTGTTTAAAATTTACCACAGTACCAGTTACCTAATTGTTTTGCAATATAAAATTAGTATTGGCTATCTTTAAACTAAATTTACAAAATAAGAGTTTGATTCAGAAAGTATAGTCCAAGCTTCCAACATGTTAGACTTGTCTATACCTTCTAAATTTTAACTATAAAATTGTACGAGCACTCAGGTATAACAGAAAAATACATAAAGAGAACTAGAAAATACAGGGCCAATAAAAAATAAACTCAAGGCGAAGATTCATTGGTCCGTGACAAGGAGTCGACAGTGGTGCCTGAAACAGAACCTAAACATGGAAAGTCAAAGTCCAGTGCCCTATTCACAATGGGCAACAACTCTTTTGCCTCTAAAACCGAACATTTACAGTTTGGCTTTAGAAGAGCCATGAGTGACTTTTGGGAGGCTTACAAAGGAACACATCTCCCTGAACTAATCTGATGGAAAATCATAATCCATTTCTTCCCGTTAGCCTCTGACTAAATAATGAAGCTAATTATGCTGGCTCTTTTCGATTCTCACAGGAACATAGAATTTTAAAGAACACATTTAGTTCCACCACTTTATGCAAGACTGAGCAGTTTTAAAGCATCTAGGTGGTAAGATGTTAGCACCACACTGACACAGAAGTCTACATAAATTTTCTTTACAGAGTTAATTAAGACCTTTTGATTAGAGACATAGCTTTGATGGAGACAAATACTCATACTGTTAGTATGCCATCCTGAGTTGACTGCTGCTGTCCCACTGCTTCTGCTCTACCTCTAACTGCACTTTTAATCACTACTGGTCATGGCTGCTAACCAAAAGGTCGGCAGTTCGAATCCACCAGCCGCTCCTTGGAAACTCTATGGAGCAGTTCTGCTCTGTCCTATAGGGTCGCTATTAGTTGGACTCGACTCGACAGCAACGGGTTTATTTATTTATTTATTTTGGTTAGTACCAGACTTTTTAACATCTATGCGTCTTTAGTATTTAAAACAATTTCCTATGACACCACAATTGTAATCTGCACTGGCAGCTCAAATAAATCCACAGGCATGAAACATGTGAATTACACTGCTTCAAACTAAAGGGAAACAGGCAGGTACCTACGCATTTCGGCTGGGTATTTTTAAGAGGGCTGGAGATGAGGATGAGAGGGAGATATTTGAGGAGAGGTGGAGTCATTGTTCCTTCCCCCCCCCCTTGGTTTCCTAGCCCTGACAGGATTTCATGGAAAAGGGAAACTGCTAGGCAGAAGTTGACAGGGAGAGCTGAATCCATTCCTCCAAGTCTGGATGGGTTCTATGGCTGAGGAGAGCTCTGAAAGAAGCAGAAATACTAACAGACTGTGGAAGGAAGCTATATGCACAAGAGACATGAAGGCATCCTGAGTAAGGTAACCTAAAAGGGGTCCAAATGTTATTTTAACTTGCTCATTTTCAGCTTAACCAAATTCATCTGGTCTTAAAGTCACAAATCCTATGACAACTGAGCCACCTTCATTCTGCAGCAACACCTCTTCACCACTTCAAAATTCTGTTCACTCTTTGCAAACAAGGGATCAAGAATCTTCCTTTCTTGATTACCTACCCAATGGCAAAACACAAAAGATATTTTTACAAAGTCTCTGCATATTTAAAATAAAATAACAGAAATACTACTTCCATTCATGACGTTATTTGAGAAAACTGAATGCAGATTTGGAATGAAATGCTTTTAATATGGTTCCTACAGCTCTTGGATGCCGGACAGCACAGTTTCACATAGAGTAGCTGTGAAAGGAGGCATGCCACAGAGAGCCTGGAGACAGGTGACCAGGAGGAAGTATGGGCTTCAAGTCCTGACTCTGTCACTAAATGGCTCTGAGGCCCTGGACAAATCCCTCTTTCACCTTTAAAAGAACAGGCTGAAATGATTTTTAGGTCCCCTTCAGCTTTAAGCCGCTCATGAATTAATCACGTTACAAGTCCTAGCTGAAAATTACCTGAAATAAATTATAAAAGACTTATCAAAGTCCACGTTTATCCTAGATTAAGTTTGTCATCACTGTGCTACCATGAAGGCAAACCTGTTGCATCACAGGGAATACAGTATTTCTGTTTGTACAAGAGTCAGAAGATGGCTTTTTAAATTCTTTTTTAAGGAAAAAACTGTATACCTCCTATGAACTGAAGTTCTCCAGTTTCACCTTTACAGCCTATACACACGATGCCAGCTGGCAGAATAATGCCAAGGTGTGCTGGCTTGCTGTGAAAATCTTTCATCACACAGGATTGATGCTTTATATCCAAACTTCATTTCAAAGCCACGTCCAAGCCACATCAGGAAGCTATTTAACACCTTCACTGTTTGTTACTGTTCTCAGGGCCGATTAACTCTGCAGCAGCCAGTGAAAGAGGAGGTTTGTAGACCACCTATCCATGAATTTAAATCTACATCGTATGGCTTATGCTCCAGAACAGACAAGTTAAAAGCAACGGATTTAACCGGCCACATCTACTATAATTCTGAAAAATGAAAATGAAAAAGCCTTTGACACGCACCGGGTGGAAGGGGAAAAACTCCATCTCCCCTACAGTGTAATATTGCAGTCTTAAGCGTTTCAATGGTTTGGTATTTCTTCTGAGAAAAATACGAATCATCGGGAGAGATTTCTGGTACTGTGCACTCACCTCTTTGATCTTCGCCCTCTTATCGCGGATGGTGGGGTCTGCGGGTTCCCGGCCCTCTGCCCCGATGGGGGGCACGAAGTTCACCTGGGGCAGTCCCCTGGACGCCGCCTTGTCACGCTGCTGGTCCTGGGCCACCTTCTCCTTCTCCAGCAGGATGTCTCTTTGGATCTCCTCGGGCAGCTTCTGCAGCGTCTCCTTGGCTTCCCTGAGAGCCCGCTCGTGGTTTTCGCGGATCCTGGCCAAGTTGTCCTCCAGGGCGGCCGCCGGGTCTCCGGGCGCGCCCTCCTCGCGGCGCCGGGCTCGCCCCTCGGCCGCATCCTCGGCGCGCGACCCGGGACCGGGCTTGTGGTCCGCGGCCGGCTGCAGGGCGGGGCTGGAGTGGAACAGGACCCCGCTGAGCAGCTTGGAGGAGTCGGGCAGGAAGAAGATCGCCCCGAAGCAGAGCGTGATGAAAGCGCTGAACACCAACAGCAGCACGAACTTCTCCGTCAGGCGGAAGGCAGCGGGGCCGGACCCCTTCCTGCCGCCGCCGCCGCCGAGACCCCCGCCCAGGCCGCCGCCCAGGCCGCCGCCCGCTGGGCTACTGAAGAGCGGCAACAGGCCCCCCACGGGCATCGCTCCCGCCGCCGCGGCCGCGGGGCAGCCCGCTGCCCACTGGCCCCGCGCCGCGCCGCTCGGCCGCCAAACTTCGCCGCCGCCGAGCGTCAGCGGCTGCGGGTCTGGGTCCTGCGCATCCAGACCGTCCAGACCCCGCGGCTGGGCTGCAGGTCTCCCCTGGGGAAACAACTCCGCTCCGTATCTCCTCTCCGGGGCGCCTCCGTTGGCAAGCAAGCACGCGCGACAGACCACTGGCTGCAGCCCCTGCGGAAAGAGAAAACGGTAAAACGTAGTAATTACAACGTTGATGATCAAATTTCCAGCTGGTTTCCGCCCTCCGACAGCCGCAGGAACCGCCAGAACAGCTCCCCGACTCAAAGTCCGAAGTCCAGCGCCGGGCACCGCCCTCGGAACCCACTCTGGACTTGGGGTGAAGTTTTCGGATCCCCAGGGGGCAGGATGTCCAGCGCACACCTGGGGCAGGGCCAGGTGCGGACACCTACTGGAGGGGGCAGCGCACCTCTGGGCGAGAGGGGTGCAGCGTGGGTTGGGGGCTTGTCAACTTCGCCAGCTCCCCATGTCGGAGCTGGACTAGCTGCCTCTCCTTCCCGGCCGACGGCAGCGTGCAGCTCCGCTACTCCGCAGCCCTGCCCTCTGCTCAGGTGGGCGGTGCGCGGGCCCACGAGCGAGTACGAACGAGCAGGCGGCACGATGCCCTCCGCAGCGGCTCCGCGAGCACTAAAGCCACTGCCGGTCCCCGGGCGGTCGGAAACGAGGGCGGTGACGCGACCGGAGAGTGACGGTGCTGTTGGGCCAATCACACACCGCCCAAGGTCTTGAGGGCGGTGCCGAGGCGGGGAGGGGGCCGCTTGAGGCGGGGAGTTTACGGGAAGCGCAGCCTTGCAGGGGCCCGGCCTGGGGCGGGGAGGCCTCGAGCCCCGGAGGCGCGAGGCGGGCGGGAGCGGCGCCGGGAGGGCGGTCAGACCTACGGCGGAGGCTGGGGGAGGACAAGGCGGGCGGAGGTCCGGGAGATTATTCCTCTCTAGCCTTAGGCCCGGGTCTCAGAGGGTGGTTGGTCCTCCAGTGCCCGGGAGGCGCCTGGCTGATGCGAGACCTCGCTGCCTGGCTCTTGGACCAGCGCCTGGCCCCGGGGCCCGCCCCGAGGGAGTCCCAGGAAAGGCTGGGTTTAGCAGGAGATCCCTGGGCACTGAGTCGTTCTGAAGTGCGTCTTTTCTCCAGTCACCTTTTTACCAACGCAGGGATTCCCTCGGTGCACGGTAGCAGGTAAACCAGAAGTCCCTCCGAAGAGCCGTGATCCTGAGAGTTTTTGAGCTCTCTGTCTGTTCTGGCTGACATCCTCTTATTACAACTTTTCGTATCCGCCTTTCTTTCTCTTAAAAAAAAAAAAAAAAAAAAAGTTGTGTACTGTATGTCCAACACGCACACACACACACTTTCAAAATTCATTTACCTCACAGAAGTTGGTCAAATGATCCATTCAAAGAAGAGAGTTTTATGCTGCCATAGTTTCAAGCAATAAGTTGAACACTGTTGAAATTAAGCCTTGGATTTGACTACTCACAGCGAATAACAACTCAGTCCAATAGAGATTGTTTTCCAGAAAGCATTACTTTTCAAAATGTGTCCGTAATTCCCCTGTTGCTCCGCAAATGAAGGGTTATCAGAGGAGAATGTTGACTGACTTCTCATCTCTGAAAGCTGGTTTGTAGCAGTCTTATGCTACCTTCTCTCTGGAAACGTGACTTCTAGTCTTTCTCTTTCTGCTTGTCTTAATACATAGGAAATAGCTGGCACCTTTCAGGAAGGAGCTCAGAATACAGTTTATAGACGTTAGACTACGAGAAATTTAAAACTAATTTAGAAACTCTTGTTACAGTTTTCATTTGTTATTCATTTTTAACCATCATTTTTTTATCGTATGCTTGTTTTGTGTAAGCTGAGTCATACATTCAAGGTTCCCATTAATAGGAAATTATTGTTTGACAAAGCCGACTTTATGGCTTGGATATTTTGATACCTGCTATGAAATTCTATGCCCAGAAGAGTGCAGTATATCCAAGCAGGGTAATAAAGTTTAGAGGGACTGGAAAAGAAAACAAAAACAAAACCTATGTATATATATGTATTATATATTTTTTTTAATGATGGAAAGGTATTTCTTCTTTCATAGTATTTAATACTATATGTGTAATAATTTGTAGGGTGTAGCTAGGTTGAAAAGTTTAAAGAACTGTAAAATATTGTTTGTTTTCAACAACATTTTTAGAATTATCTCTTGAATATCTGTATATCTATGTCTATCTATCTAGTAACTGGCATTAATTACCCTAAAAGTCAATCTCTTTATGATCATCTTTTGGGGAGTGACATATTATTTTAACAACTGTGTTTTTTAAATGGTATTATTTCCTATAGTCATAGAAGTATTTAGAATCTTTAATATTATTAAGTATTCTTGGAAATTAGTGAAATCCAATTTTAACTGCATGCTAAAATGATGATAAAGGGAAAATGCAAAGTTATAAACCTATTTCTGGCACTCTAGTTTTAATACTTAAGCCAGTTTGGGTATTTAATATCATCTGTAGTGGCAACATTCAAAATTTAGCATATGGATTTAAGTATGCTTTTTTGTTTTTCAAGAGGCCAAATCTGATCTGTCTATATTATGTTTAAATCTTTTAAAGTGACTGCTCTGTTTATTTTTAGTTCACTGTTAAGCAACTTATTTTAAGGTTTTTTTTTTTTTTAATTATCGTATTTCTTATAAGACAGAGGGTTATTATAGTTGAAGCCTGGCTTTAATAATTTGTTAAGTGAAAAGTTAGCATGGATGGTTGATTATGAGGTACCTAAAACAGCCACTCCTTGGAAGCCCTATGGGGCAGTTCTACTCTGTCCTACAGTGTCGCCATGAGTCAGAACTGACTTGACGACACGTAACAACAACAACGACACACATTTTGGGGTCACATGAGTCAGATTGACTCAAAAAGGTAAAAATTAAAGGGTACCAGTGTATGTTAGATGGGATGAGAAAAATATGAGAACGTTCATATTTAGGCTAGAGTAAGTTAAAAAAAATGAGAGATGTTTGAAGAGGCATACCAAACAAATTAACCACATAAAACCCTTTATATTAGCCACACAAAACTTTGTGTATTCAGGGCAAGGGAGAAGTACAGAATAATCAACAAGTAAAATTGTACATTTTGTGGAAGCATAAACATTTTGCTCTTATTACGATATCACAAAGCACTTCACATTCCACAATTAAAAACAAAAATGCTTTGCCTCATGAGATAAACCAAAAAATAAAGGTCAGCCTGATTGGTCTTGTTTTTCCCTAAAATAAAACCTTGACTATTTCCCATAAAACTGGACTCCCCAACCATATCTCCTGGAAGACATACCATGATCGTTGTGAATACAATAATTGTGATAAACTTGCTGTTTTCCCATTATGAATACTCTAGTGTAAACTTAGCAACCTCAGAAATTCTGTGGGTTTTCTCTTTAAATACTTACTGTGTGTGTGTGTTTTTTTTAACTTGGCCAGCCTGTCCTTCTGAAGTATGACTTCCTTGTACCTTCTGCAATTTATTTGGCTGCTTAGATTTCTCTGTTTTTAAAATAACACTTAACCAAAGGTAAATTTAACTTTTACATTAACATGCCTAAAATAAAATATAATAACTATAGACAGGGCTACATAAGAGAAAATTGGCAACATTAACCAAAAAAATTGTGATGAATAGTTTGATAAAGTCAAAAGTTCTCAAAACTTAAAGTGCAATGTTACATTTCTTATCACTAGGAAGTTTTGTGACAGTACTAGTTAGAAGTTTATGGAAGAATCATTTTGAGTATTCTTTGATTTAAAAAAATAATAGAATCAAAGAAAGTAATCTGTATGTGTAATAATTAACTATCAAAATTCTCCAACAACTTAGAGATTTCTGATAAAATAGCAGATTTTCTAATTATCTTCAAATTCCAGGTCAAAATAGGTTTTTGCTTTTATTTGAAAAATCGAAATGTAATATGAAAAAAATAGTTCATTGTGAACTTTAATCTTGAAATTTCAGTGCTTCAGTAGGCAACTCTGAATTTTATATGAAGTTTATTAAGATCAGAATTAACTAAAGTTTTAAAAGAGACTATCATTGGTATTTGTGCTCAGATGGGATCTAAAATTATATCCCTAATTCCATGTTTTTGCTCCTCCTCAATTTACTTTGAAACTACCTGAGTAGTAGATTATTTTCAAAGAACTCCAATCACCATGTTTTGATGCAGGCAAAAGTGGGGGCGGCTGAGGCTGAATTAAGGAGCCACCTCTATCCCTGGAGGCTTCTGTCGAAATATTTTGTTTTGAACACTCATTTCGTAAACATTGCAGTCCCCAACTTAAAAACATGTGTCCCACAAAGTATTTGTGAATTGGCTCTTTGGAACTTTCAGCGCATTTCTCTGAAATGAGTTGGTAGCCTGCTCTACAAAGATCTAAGACACTAGGGAAGAGTGAAATGTTGGGAAAAAATGCTGTTGTAATGTAGGAGGATTCTAAACTAACTTTCAAGGTCAGAAAGGTTTATGGAAATTCTTAGTTACAATTTCCCTTCATCATGTAAAGCTTTCTTTGTTTGACATATCACTACTGTTACCATTCTGGTGTTTTTGTTTTGTTGTGATTTGATTAACAAAGGAACTTCAAAATTATAAACATAGGAAGAGATTTTCCTGAGATAACTGGGCAAGAGATCTAATGGAGAGAGTAAGTTTTTATAGTGAACAGGCATGTCCTTGGCTGTGTGACCATAGGCAATAAGTCATCTATGTCCTGTGACTCACGTTCTTCGTCTGTAACATTACTGTCGCTCTTGAGTTAAATAGTATAACTAATTGTCTAGCACGATAAGCATCTAAGAAATTTAATTCATTTTCTCCCCTCCCTAAAAGAAAATTAATGATAGGAGTGGGGGGAAAGGCAGAGGAAAACAAAGAACAGTATCTATAGAATTTTTCTAAGGAAGACTCAGAAAAGGGTAGGGAAAAAATACTGGCTTATGTGGCTTTTCAGCTTGTTGTCGCTTTTCAGCTACTGTCCTTCCTTTCAGTAATATCCAGTGGAGAGGAGAAGTGGGTCGGGAAATGATGGGCCCTACAGTATTTCTCTATTCTTTGAATAAATATGACCAAAACATTTACCAACTAGTCAACTTTATAGTTCCCCAAGCCTTGGGGAAATGTGAATGATGGTAAAGTCTCAAAGTGAGGAGAATGCTATTATGGCTCAGTGCTTGAAGCATCAGGATGCTAAGAGCTCAAGGCAGAAAAGCTGGGCAGATTATGGCAGCAGTGGCCATTAGGGGCCCTGGTATATAAAATGTTTGAATTTTATAACTTGAGGAAAATATGATATTTCAACTGAGCAAAACAGAGGAAACATTTCTTTCTATGGCTAGAAAAAGATGTAAAATATTCCCTTTCTTAGTTTTTAATACATTAGATACATTTTAAAGAAATGAAAAGCTTTTTCTTTAAAAAAAAAAAAAAAGCTCATTATTTTCTCTCCATTCTCTGTCCCTAAAAGATCATATGCTATTCCAAAAAAAAAAGAGAAAAAAAAAGTTATGATACATTATTCTGCCCAATTGAAATTTTTTTCATGAAACAAAGTGAAATGAAACCACATGGTTTGTTCCTATTTTGAA